TCAACTTGTTTTTTTTTCTTTCCTTCCTTCTTTCTTTCTTCTTTTTTTTTTTTTTTTAAGTGAAATAAGCAAAAGAAAACTCTGGCTTGATTTCAGTACCATATCATTAAAATCAGCACTCATAGCTTACTGTTTTGTTAAGTAATTGCCTTTTGGTGGTCTTGGCTACATTCATGTTTGTCACAGAACCTTTTCATATTTTAAACACATACATTATGTGGGAAAAACGAAAAGCGGTTCAAGTTTTTCAGATTGAGTCCAAAACCAAGTGTCTGTTTCCTGTCTGTTTGAAAATGCATGACTGAGGTATCTTTGTTTTCAGATATCAAAAGTACCTTGAATTCCATTGGTTTAGATATCAAACAAAAAAATGAACAGATTTCTATTCAGAATAAGCTGTCACGTTTCATGGATCCCATTAATTACGTTGAAAGTTATATCTACAACAAATTACGCAAGTTGAAAGAATATGACTCATACAGGTGAGTGCCTCCTTTGAGCTGGCAAACTCTGAGAGAGAACCATGCTGTGGGATTCGGGTAAAAATTTGACCTTATGACTAAGATAATCTTATGAGAGCAAATTGTACAAAGAGGCCATAACCCGATGCGTGTTCGACCGTAGTTTACGTTCATTAAAAAAGTTGAAGTGTTCGCTCGTTAAGACACAGACTAAATGTGAAACTATATGAAAAAGGGTAGTATAGCCACTGCACAGGGATGACGTGCAAATTTTTGAATTTTTCTAAATATGAAGATTGAAAGTTCTCAAGCCACATTTTCAATAATTTGTCATTTCAATGACCTTGGTGGCTTCTAGAAACTGAGTTATTTTGATCTAAAGCACGTAACAGGATTTTAAAACTTAAAAGTGATTAAGGAAGGGCAAGGGCATTTGGGTGAAAATATTCTTTTCATCATCGGTTTATTCAATAAAGGTGGAGAGGTTGGTTCCTACAGAAAGAGCGTCTTTGAAACCAGTAAATTGTTCAAAGAGCTCAGTGAGCGGCTGCTGTTTGCCCTACAGAAAATGGTAATGGTGGGGTTTGGCCGTGGGAGGTGCTAGTGGATGTTTCGGACGGAGTCCTAGGGAGGGAGGATGTCGGGACTTGAAGTATTTAGAGGATCATGTAAGAGTCACTCTTCTCTTTGAAGGGCTCAGCCCCGTGACCTGCCAATGGAACTGTTCTCACTGCCCAAACCCATGGAGATTTGGAGACTTTCATTCCTATCTGGGTTATTTATTATGCAAGAGCACAAGATAAATAATAACAATAATCACTAGCATTTAGGGGACAGTTGCAGTGTGCCCACCAAGCACTGCATGCTCATTTAAGAGTCACACAAATCCCCTGGGTTGTATTCTATTTATAGCTCCGTTTTATAGGAAACAGGCCCTGGGCAATGAAGTGACTCACGTAAGGCCAGCAACAACATCTGCCTATGCCCTTAATTATTGCCCTGTAATCAACAAGCCACTTTTCTACCACGGGACTAGGCCACCCCAGTGGATATTGGGACAAACATAAGACAGACCCTTTCTCAATGAATTTACAATCTCATTAGAGGTCAGAGTTTCACAAATGGAAAGAATGGTACAATCATCTGTCACATGTCAGCTGCTTCTTCCTTTCACCTGTCCCTGCCTGGAGCTCATCGGCTTATTTTAAAAAGAAATTTCACTAAGCAGAGGAGGCATGCATTAACTGTAAACGATTTCTGAGGCGGGTTCCATGGCTTAGTTAATTGTAAGTATCTGGAACAAAATGCCACAGTGGGTGCAGGTGGCTATTCTTATAATGATCAAGATTGCTCTTAATTGAATGAAAAGTTTTAGTGGAAGCTTTTGTCCCAGAAGTAAATTATTTATTTATTTGTTTGTTTGTTTGTTTGTTTGTTTGTTTGTTTGTTTGTTTGTTTGTTTGTTTGTTTGTTTGTTTGTTTGTTTGTTTGTTTGTTTGTTTGTTTGTTTGTTTGTTTGTTTGTTTGTTTGTTTGTTTGTTTGTTTGTTTGTTTGTTTGTTTGTTTGTTTGTTTGTTTGTTTGTTTGTTTGTTTGTTTGTTTGTTTGTTTGTTTGTTTGTTTGTTTGTTTGTTTGTTTGTTTGTTTGTTTGTTTGTTTGCGTTTTGAAGGTTAGGAAGCATTTCAGGAACGCCAGGAAGACTAACCGAGGATCCATTATCCTCGAATGTCACACGGGACCATTACAAATTGAGATTTGCATTCTGCAGGCATTTGATCGAGGATGCTCGTAAAATTCTACAACTTTCAACACACTCACCACGTAGAGAGTTTCTGTTTCCGTAAAGAACACAGTGTCCCCCAAATACTCCTGCAACCACAAAATATTTCAGAGAAAGACCAGGGAAAAGAGCCCACTATTTCCTTCCCCGTTGGCTAATTGTGATCTGTTCCCATCTCATCATCATTATCATAAGCAGTGACAGCATCAGGAACCTGGAAAGAACATGAGTCTTAAGGCTCATGGTTACTAGTGGCCTTGAAGTTGCATAAACCATGCTTGTGAGCCCCAGGGGAGTAAAGCAAAGGCAGGAAGACATAATCCCATGTCCGTGGAGTGACCGCACTTCAAAACCAAGATAAAAATGGCTGGCGGGTTGGGAGACTTGGGGTGCAAAGGCATCTTTTCACAACAAGAGCACCCTCCGAGGAATTAACAGAGGAATCTAATATTTCACTGCCAAGTATCATTTCACTGCTCCAGCCCTAGTATGACAGCTTTTGAGTTATAATGTCACCTCTTTCATGTATCACCTTTCACCAGGTGGCTGAGCAGCTTGGTTATCTGCTGTTTCCTGACACTCGTCACGACTTTTTATTCCTTGGGCATATTATGTGGCATTTTTGGCTATGACCCGAATGCCTCCCCAACGAGAAGAGGTTGCATCTCCAACACCGGGGGCATCTTCCTCATGACGTGAGTTTCTCTCTTTCTTGCCATGTTGGGGAGGGGGCGGGGGGTGGAAATTCAGGTGACTCTGGCGGTACACGGATCCTGTGGCCTCTGGGCTGGGCACTCTGGGTTCCAGTGGAGTAGGCGTGTTGATGTGACTATACTTTTGTCGGTTTGGGAAATTTCATCACACGTAAAAAAATAAAAACTCTAAATTGGTTGCACTTTGATTGACAAGTTTAAACACATTGTTTATCTTTAAAGCAGCTATCACAGGAAATTACTTCCAAGTCGGCTTTCTCGATTCCCATTGTTTTTTTTTTTTTCCTATATCCATCCATCCATCCATCCATCCCTCTCTCTCTCCCTCCCTCCGTCCACCCATCCACCCAACTATTCATTCACCAGATACTTGTTGAAGACTGACCTGGTGTCAGACACGTTTCTATATGCATTTCTAGCTTGTCCACTTTGAAACTCTATAAGCTTGATGCGGAGCAGAAGTTGACTGTCCATGCCAGACATGAGACGCTGCCAAGAGCGCTCTTCAGAGAGAAACTGGGTTTTGTTCTCGCTGTGCTCACAGCCCCTAGTAGCTTCCCTTCCCTGAACCCACCGGGCCCCAACTGGTACGTCGGCGCCTACCTGCCTCTTGAGCTGCTGCTCACCCCGCTCTCCACCCTCTATCTGGATGCAGAGCCACGTTGGCCCCTTTCAGACTCTCAAGGGTACAGAAACTCCCCCGTCACTGTGTCCTCTGCAGAAAGCCTTGGATCACTCGCCTGACTCAGAGCCCTGTCCGAACCGCAGTTCTGGGCTGCAAGTAGGCCAGGGACTAAGCCATGCCCATTCCCTAACTATGTGCTAGGGACAGAAGGCCACAGTGCTTACCACTTTCTGTCTTCACTCCCCAGGAGCTGACCCTTTTAACCCACAGACACCTGAAGACCGCAGGTCCATTTTTTTACATTAAATAGGTGGAATCAGTAAGTATTGGCTCGTAATATTCTTAACTTTATTTCTACTTTTTTTTTTTTTTTCCTAGTGGGGTTGGAATCAGTTTCCTCTTTTGTTGGCTATTGATGATCATTGTGGTTCTTACTTTTGTTATTGGCGGAAATGTGGAAAAATTGGTCTGCGAACCTTACCAGAACAGGAAGTTATTCCAGGTAAATGTGTTATTTTGTGAATATTGTCGGAGGGCTTGAGCCAAACCTTTCATTTCCCCGTAACGTGTGGGTTTCTTCAAGAGCAATGCAAAAAGTGGAGCATTTTGGTTTTTATTCAGTAAGTTGAGATTCCTTCTATCTGTGAGAACAAAAACATGTAGGGGTATAGAATTCTTTTATCCTTTTTTTTAATGTAACCGAAATCAGTAACCACGAATTAAGACCTGCACGTCAGTGGAGGTGGTCATATTTGGGGAGGATAAAATTCTCCTGAGCAGTAGTCCTCAAATGTGGCTGGAGACGTCGGAACATAAATTCCTGGGTTCATCCAGACTCCAGGAGGTTTCTGACGTTTTAAAGAGTTTCCCAGATGGCAGCCGCTGCCACAGGTGGTCTGAGGCCCTAACTCTGAAGTGAAAGAGACCGATGAATCACACAGCTCGTCTGCCACGGCTGCTGTCCCCTGCAGATGTCTGACGAGGCGGTCAGAAACTGAACCCAAGCCTCACGTTCTCTCTCTAAAACCGACTACTGCAGACTCCAGGGGACCACTTTGCAGTTCAGCTCCATTAGTGAAGGAGGACATTTCGGTCAACGTGTCTGTCTTCTCACTTTGTCTTTCCAGTGTTTTTCTCCAGATTCTGTTTCTTTTTTTTTTTTTTTAATATATTTCTGTTTTCCTGTCTTACTTACATATTTTCCACTCAAAACTGTTATAAAATCAAGGGAATGACTTTTAAAGTAACCATTTGTCGTCATGGGATTTTAATTATTCAGTTGGTCGAGGAAAATTAAATGGTAGCATCTGTTTTGTCAACTTCTCTCCATTTGGCCTCTTGATAATAATAATAATAATAATAATACAGTAAGCCAGACTTCATTCATACTGCGTTAAATCGTTAAAAGGAAATTCTTTAAAAGTAGGGCATGTTTAGAAACCATTGACACTCCACAGATACATGTGCAGTCATGTAATTAGCCCATCTTAAATACATATGATGCGAAGTCAGAGGATGCGTGAGTTTTGATTCATTTTGTCTAGGGGGAAGTAGGAAGGAACTGGGTGAACTGCCTCCTGGCTTTCTGTCGGCTATTCTGAGTCAAATTCCCCCATTTCTAATGTGTTTGTTTGACTCAAAAGTACTGTTCTCCAAAAAAAAAAATTTTTTGCAGTAATTGCTACTGATGCTACCCAGTGGTCAATGGATTAATCCAATTACATTATTATTTTCTAGTTTAAAATTGAAAATCAATGAGGAAAATCATGATATGTAAATCTCCAAAATATATTTAACAGAGCATTCATTTTATTATATGTATGCCTATTAGTGTAAAACTAATAGTCTTTAAAAGTTTTTAAATTTGTTCTAGGTTTTGGACACACCGTATTTACTAAATGAGAATTGGAAATACTACCTCTCAGGCATAATATTTAACAAACCGGATATCAATCTTACTTTTGGACAAATATACAGGTATAAATAATTGCATTACAGTTTTTATGCTACTTCAAATGTTGGTTTTCCAGAATGAGAATTTTGCTCTCCAAGTGTCTTTAACCTTAATGATAAGACTTTCCAATTTCAGAGTTAAGCTGTTCTCTAGTCTTAGCAAAGAATTAGTAGAAATAAGACCTAAAAGATAATCCTTCTGAAAGCCTTCCAGACCTTGAAATGATGATGTCTCAAGGTCCCTCTGTCCAATGATCCCCTAGGACTCACTGGTTAAGGTGACCCTAAGGTGCCTTAATGGGATCCTATGAAAACTCTTGCTCAGTAATCACCCTACTGCCAAGTAAATGCCACGTAGCAAGAATTCAGTGGGTGGGTCCAAGCCACAGATGTGCCAAAGGCTGGGCTGTGTGGCCAGGCTGCCTGGGCTCCAGTCCTGGCTCGGCCACCAGGGGCTCTGTGATCCGGGGCTAGTCCACTTCCTCTTTGTTTCGATGGCTCCCCATCTCTTCCGGTGGAGACAGCAAATGAGTGGCACATGCACCCACCCTTCTCGCGCCTCGCTGTCACGGCGGGCATTGGTGATCAGCTGTGGTCTTCTGCTCAGCCCGGAGAGTCTCCAGATTCTTCTCAACGTGTTCTAGGCAGACATTATCAGTCCGTTGGAGTGTCTGTGCACGATTAAACCGTCCTAGCTCTTGGTGATTCTGGCTCCTGTACCGTCCACTGTTCCCCACAACGGTTCGTGCATCGAGCCCTCTGTTGCTACAACACCAGCCTGCTCGGGTTCCCTAGAGAGGAGTGTCACACCTCCTAGGGGTGCGGGAAAGCTGCTTCTCCCAGGCATCCCTCAGGGCTGGAGGGCTCTGGCTGCAGGACAAGGAGGGGACACTCCCAAGAAGTGGTAGGGATGCGCATCAGATGACACCTCCCCTTCTTAGCCCAGGGAAGGAGGCCTTGCCCCCATTTTAGGAAAGGACAAAGAGCTGAGGCCAAGTTAGGTTTCTAGCCAAGGGGTCCCGACCAGCCGGATGTCCATAGCCCCTTCCCCGCCTCCATCCTGCCATCAGAATGCACATCCAACTGTCTGTCGAGCTCAGCCCTGGAACCACGGAGGGAGATGGTCTGAAAGAGGCTTGACAGAATCTCTTAATAAAGCCCATGGGTGTGCCTTGCAACACACCCCTTTTTAGCAAGTTTTGTTATTGGTTTTTTTTTTAAATGGGAATTTATTTCTTCCCAATTCGTAAACGTGTCATCCCCCACAGCACTGGAAAGAGGACAGAGAGAACGTATTTACTCAACTTACTGGATCTATTCCCCAAATTGGACTTTTAGTAAAGTGGGGAACGAAGTGGGGTGGCCACTGGTGACTGCCTAGTACCCGGTTGCACTATGTTCACAGATTAAACAAAGATGGACAGTTAACTTTTCTCTTCATACTTAGCAATGGGCAGAGGTAGCCACAGCTGCCTGTCTGGGTCATGATCATTCCATTTATTCCCATAGCGATTGCAAAGAAAATAAAGGCATATATGCCACACTGAAGCTGGAAAACCGCTACAATATCAGTGAATATCTCAACGTTCAGGAGGTAAGTAATTAGAACCAGTCATGAAACTGATGTATTTCTTTATAAAATCCAGTGTGTGTGTGTGGTTTTAAACTGAGGTGAAATTCACACAAAATTAACCATTTTAAAGTGACATTTTCTACATCCACGAGGTGGTGCAACCCTCACCTCTGTCTAATTCCAAAACACGTTCATCGCCACCACCCCCAACCAGTTGTCTTTCCTAAGTCAGGAGCTGCTTTGGTACGTCATGCAAGATGCCCAAAAGGGGCCTCTGAGGACACTCGCAGGGAAAGACTCTCTATCACTGAGAGTCAGCGTTCCTAGGGGAACGGACCCTACTTGTTTCCCAGGGACGCTGGCTCCCAAGACCGGCCCCCTTTTTCTGCCAGGTCCCTGAAGAGGGGAAGAGGCAACGAGAACTGTGGCCCACGCCATCACGATCCTTACGAATGGTGGCGGTGGCCTCAGGACTCCGGGGTGGGCGCTTCTGAGCTCCGCTGGTCCTCGGCGAGAGATGGAGGTAGAGGGAACGGAGTGACCTCCCCTGCCCCTTTGCCCAAGCCCACACCCAAGTCTTGAGTCTTAAGGCTCTGAGGAGAGGCTCCTGCAGAGCCTGAAGCCTGGCAGAGGGAGCGAGAGAGTTTCAGCTGCCCAGGTCTCGGGTGGCAGTAGCCCAGGCTGTCCCCACAGCCTCCTTCCTGGAGGCCAGCTGGCCTTCTCAGCCACGTCGGAAAGAATCGAAGGAGGCTGCTTCCTTCTGGGCTTTCACAGTGGAAGCAGATGACAAGGGAGACCGAGGGAGGAAGTCGTTCCCCAAACCCAACAACCTTCCCACGGAGGTGTCGCAAAAGTCTCCCAGAGGTACCGTGACGTCGCGGTGGCCTGATGATTTTCATGTATGAAGAGGTTTATCTGAAAGTGGCTTACGAATTTCGTGTCGATAGTCTCACTTAAATGGTCCTTGCATGCGGCATAAAGAAAATGTAATTTTGTGACCAGGCCCCAAATCGACGCCCTCTACACATTCGTCCGTCACGCCACGTGTCATTTTCTCTGTCCACCCTGGAGAACAGGGCTGCCGAGCGCCGCGCAAGCTCTGCAGGGCTGGCTCTTAGTCCAGCCCAAGCCATCGACCGTCTCCCCGGAATCTCGTGTCTCCCGACCTCCTTTCCTGGGATGCAGACAACCGGGTCCCTTTCCGCGTCTCTGTTTCTCAAGACTCACGCAAAAGCCATTTCCTCTCTGTTGCCCTCCCCCAGTTTCCTGCCTTGGAGGGTTCTCCCTGACCCCCCACCCCGTGTCCTGATGCCGTTCCTGTGCCTTTATCATGCATGGCACTGCCTCTTCTCTTCCTTTTGAGGTCTTTGGGGGCAGAGGCGCAATGTTCTTTTGCTTTGCACCCCACCTCCTCACATAGCGCTTGGCGCAGGGCGTGAAGGAGGAGGCAGGGAGATGGGGGAAGAGTTATGGCGGGGGAGGCGGAGGGGAGAAAGAAGGGCACCAGGAAGAAACGCCAGTCAGGTGCACGCGCTTTTTTTTTTTTTTTGTCCTGTGTCATTTCATTGCTCTTTAAAAACATTAAGTGTGTGACATTATGGGAGAAGACTGGACATACTCATAACTCTTCTTTTAATCCTGCAGTACACCGAGAACATAAACAGTTATTTTGACAATCTCAACATAAAGATTGATAACATCGTTCTGCTGGACGACGCGGGAAGAAGAAGTCTCATGGATTTCGTTTCTTCAGGCGTAGATAGAATAAATTATGACGCTTACTTGGCTGAGGTAGGACTTCCGTGCTTCCGCTTGAACTTTTGGGGACAATTAGAGCATGGATATGTGTTTCTCTTTCTGTTTTTTTTTTTTTTTTTATTGAGATGAAATTCACATAACGTAAAAGTAACCATTTTAAAGGGAGCAGTTCACTAGCATTTAGTACATTGACGGTGTTGGGAAACCGCCACCTCTGCCTCGTCCCGAAGCATCTCGTCCCCCCAGAACAAAGCCCCGTCCCCGGTAAGCAGTCGCCCCTCATTTCCCCGCTTCGACCACCAGAGTGTGTTCCGTTTCTATGAATTTGCCCATTCTGGATATTTCATCCGGGAGGAATGATCCAGTACATGACATTTTGTGTTTAACGGCGTTAACTGGTCCCTTTCATTGCAGCCTACAGTTTTTGAGATCCGTAAACATTATAGCACGTATCCATCGGTACTTCCTTTATTGTTATGGTTGAATAATATGGTTTTACGTGTATAAATCAGAACGCAGATGTTGTCACCCATCTCAGAGTTTCTCCCACCTTGCTTTGTGGACCCGCGTTCACTCTGTTGCCTGTTAGGTGTTATTAAGGTTTACAAATCCCATATCCGTGACACGTTTTTTTTTTCCCCATCTCTTTTCTAGACAACTAAAGCACCCACAAAAGTGAATCTTTTATTATTTGCAGATGTCCTACAAGAGAAAGCCAACCAATTGGTGAGTTCGAACACTGGTTAAACGTGGGAGTTGTTGCAGATGGCAAATGTCAATCCGATTCTTAGGGAGGCTGCTGAAGAGATTCCTTATGCCACGAGGAGCCTCTCCTTTAAAACCGCTTCTCTTGTGCCTGTTTAAAGTTCGCGCCACAGCCCCGTGCCACGTGGCCCATTCACTGGTCTGTGATGGTTTCCGGGGTGGCTTCAGGATGCACGCAGCCCTCCCCGCCCTGCCCAAGGGGCTCACGCTCCGGTCCACCCCTTCTCCCTGTGGGATGGGGAGTGGTGACCACGGGCAGGAGAGGGGAACCCCACGCGGCGCTCTGCGTCACCAGTGAGAAGTGGGGAAGGAAAGGCAAAGGCACCATCCCAGCCCCGTAAGCTTCCCCTTCACCAGCTGCTCTGCTGGATGGTGACTAAATGGCCGCAGCTGGTCCCTTCTGAGAAGCAGCAGAGCACGGTGAGGAAGACCCTGGGCTCCAGAGGATTTAAACCCTGACTTAGCCCTTTCCTCCCTGTGGGACTCAGGCCAGACGTGTCACCCCTCTGGGCCCTCGTTTCCTCATATGTAAGGTGTGGGCAGAGGGCTTGCTATGCATTCAGGTACCAAACACTACTGAAGTGTGCATTGAATAAAAATTGCGCAGTTAAGCCTTGGTTTCCTCGATGTAAAGTGGGGGTACTGCTATGGTAAGGTGGCTTTACAGTGGCTAGAGTCTGGTCAGGCGAGGAGGAGGAGGGAGCAGCCTCAGGAAGGGAGAGAGAGAGAGAGAAAACTAGTTCAAGTGGGCATATTAGCCCACTTGACTCCAACTTCAGCAGCCTCAGGATGGAGCTCAGGAAGGGCCAGCGAGTCCCCGTGGGCTCTTGCGGACAGTTCGTGGTTCCGTGACTTGGGGTCTTGGCGCAGCCCCTCCCCGCGGCTCCCAAGCCCACCGCCGACCCTGCACCAGGCGGGCTGCGTGCTCACGTCGTGACTGCCCTGCCCAGAGATCCGGGGCTCAGAGAGGGTGCTCCCGGGCCCGGGAGAGTGGTGTTGACTTTATTCGATTCCCTTTGCAGCCCCCAGGAAACTTGAGATCGTCCCTGATAAGAAACGAACAGATGATTAGAAGGATTTACCATGACCAAGTCATACCTCTGGAACTATCGATGGTAACTATCCACCACTCTGGCATTTCTCCCGTGAGCTGCACACGGTCCATTACACCTGGCGGGCTTTCCTTAAGCCTGAGGCCGCAGGTGCATCTCGCGTAGCTCACATCCCATGGGCCTCAGGTTCAGATATTGAGCTCTTTTTAAAATAAACGATAATAGCTGGCTGGGCTTTAAAGAAGACAAAGTTTTCAGCCTCACCCCTCCTTTTCTGCTTGTTTCCCTGCTCTTTGTTCACCCGAGTGTGAACACGTAGATGAACTCTGGGGTGGCCTCCCGGGTTCATAGCCCCCCACGCCACGCGCCCGGCTGCGGCGCTGAGGTTTCCGTTGCGGACTCGCTCCGACTCATGCTTCAATTCTTTTCCTCCAAACCCTGACAAGACATACGTGCAGGCCAGGGGAAGCCCTTCCGGCTCGGCCTCCGCGTCGCTCTGCTCACTGTCCTCGAAGGGCGTGTCCTCTCGCCTCTCTTCCCTCCCGTATCGTCTGACTTTGCTTCTCCTGTTCTCCTGCCCGCTTTCCGGCTTCTTCCCTGAATGCCTGAAAGGCAGTTCGTAGCAAAGAGAGAACGGGGGCTCTAGACTCAGGCAGGCCTGGTCTCCAACCCTGCTTCCACCGCTCCAGAGTCAGCGTCCTCATCAAGAAGTGGGGGGACCAGATCCTGCCTTGCTGCTGCCTGGCGCCTGGAGATGCAGGATCTCGCATGCCAGGGGGACTCCGTAGACAGGGGGAGTTGTCATTATGCTTCTAGGGGTCACGTTTGCAGCTGTCAAGGGGAAGACTGAGAAACAGGGTTACAGGTCCGCTTGCTCAGGTTCGGAGAAGCATATTAGCCCACTTGACTCCAACTTCAGAACCTTCCAGAACTAGTTTTCTTTCTCTCTCTCTCTCTCTCTGTCTCTGTCTGTCTGTCTCTCTCTCTCGTTTTCTTCCGACTTTCTACTTTATTATTGACAAAGTCCTATCGAATTTTCTTAATCTGGACGCAATGCTCACCACAATTCTCTGCTACACTTATTTACGCCCAGCACAAATTTGTTAACATTCTAAGCTGTTTTCTGCATGTTCCTTAAATGCCTTCCTTCAAGTAGACACAGGACCCTTCAGCCTTTTCAGAGCTGGGCCGCCTGTCTACAAATAGGCAAGTTGTGACCTGCCATCTAAACCAGAGGTTAACGCACTATGGCCCTGAAAACTGCGGCCTCTGGGCCAAATCTGTCCTTCTTGTCTGTTTTTTATGCATAAAGTTCATTAGAACACGGCCACGCCCATTTATTCACAGGTGAGCTGTGGCTGCCTTTGGCTTCAAGATCAAAGTTTAGTGGTTGTAACAGGGTAGGGCCCACGGAGCCTGAAATCTTTACTACCTAACTTTTAACTGGTCAACTTGGTCAATCCCTGATGTAAACCATGCAAATTAAGTCACTCTCGTTGGGCAGGCTTTATTTTAAGTAATGTCTGCCATTTTGAGCGAACCTTGCACGTGACCTGCCACCCTTCAGAGCTCTAGAATACGCGTCCCGAGTTCTTCCGGGGTTCTTACACCCGGGGTCTGTGAGGTGCACACTGTTACTGTGTCTGTTGTTTTTTCTGGAATGACATCATTGCAGAGTAAAGTCGGATCTGATGGCTGACTTGGTGGGGGAGACTGGTAGAGGGACACAAGGCCTGTGATCTTGCTGCTTTATATAATAAGTTGGAAAATATTATCTATGTTTGCTCACCAGAAAGGTATATACCGAAGCATCCAGGAGCTTCAATACAAAAGCAGTGGATTGGGGGTAAGGATTTATTTCCTCTTTCTGTCCTTTTTCCTTTTTCTGTGTGTTGTAAAAGCACACGCAGACTTTCAGAGACGCTGGTGTTGCAGGCACTTTAGGTAAAACGAAACAAGCGTCAGTTATCCACCCACTTACATGCCAGGCTGGGCTTTCCTACCATTATCTTTCTACGAGGGCTTCTATCAATGCAGACCTCATCTCGGCTCGCTGCTAGGCACAGAGGGGAAAGCTGCATTTTGATGTGTGGGACGCAGGCCGAGAGGTGCACCAGTCACTTTTGCTGAGAGAACACTGCCTAACAGCCTCCAGATCTCAGCGCCCGCCGACCACAAACTCCCACTCTCACGACTGGGCCCGCGGCGGGCTTCTCGCCATGTCGTTCCTCCTAGAGACCCTGCCCGAAGGAGCGGTTCTCTTCCGGGCATCCCAGGTCCTCAAAGTGGAGGACAGGAATCCAGAGGATGCACGGACACACAGGTGGCCTTTGAAGCCACCGCTTAGAACCAGCACACTGCCACTTCATTTATGTCCCCCATCGGCCAAAGCAGGTCACAGGGCCAAGACTCACTCACGCCTTCGGGTGGGGAAGTGTGTGCCCCTGGGCAGGTTCCCACGATCACAGAGCAGCCAGCACAGCCGACGGCAGGGGGCGCCCTCGGGCCGCGGCCCGGGCCACAGGAACTGAGCGCTGAGGCTGCGTTGCGTTCAGCTCGCGCCCACGGTGCCAACAGGCGACTCAGGGAGGACTTCCTCAGGCCTGCAGTAGGCCGCCCATGGGAGGGTTTGGCTGTCAGCCCTGCAGCGGGAAACCCCGTGTTCCTCCCTGCGCTTCCCTCGGAGCCCCCGGGCTCACCCGTGTGCTCTCCCTGCCCCCGTTTACCGTGAGCTCCTCACGTGGTGCTTGGCTCTCTCCCTGGCCTGGCCGGCGCTGAGACATCCTGACGCAGTTCCTCTGAAGACCGTCAGGCTTCCTCTGCTCCAGGGCTGTCCCCGCGCCTTGAGTCACGGTTGCCATTTCACAAGTGTGCGTCCCATGCCAGGGCAACCTGGTGATAGATGGGTAACTGCGTGCAGGTCCCGTGCCACCCCAGCACACCTCGGCGGTCAGACAACAGCGTGCAACTATGCACTGACCTTTACGGGGGGCGAGTGGGGGCAGAAATCAGCCCTTGACCCACTGGCCGGGCTGTGTGCCCTGAGGTCTGTGGGCGCCTTTTCCAACTTGCACCAGGCTGCCTTGTGGGTTGACAGTGGCCTTGTCCATATTTGTGTGATAGTGCAAAGAGCGTGGACTTTGGAGTGAATAAAGAAGTAGGTGCAAACCCCAGGTCTTTCTGCGTCCCAGCTTGGGGACCGTGGGCAGGGCCAGGTCCCTCGTCTGAGAAGGGGCCTGACAATACCTCCCTTTCGGCCTTGTGACTGTTCAGTGCTGTGATTCAGGCACAGGAGCCAGCCCAGTGTCTGGCACAAAGTAAGTGCTTGCTAGTACTGGTCTCCTCCTCCCTGCTCTCAGAGGCGTGGGCCGATTCTGTCCTCCTGAACCATCAAGCTGGGGCGGTCCGGGGCTGAGGCAACTGCATGCATGTCGCTAGGCAGACTTGCCAGCGAAGGCCTTTTATCACTTGATACCTTGTGGGTTGTTGCTGTGTCTTCCAGGCGAGTGTGAGCGATATCATTTCCTCTTTGGATTCAGCTCAGAAATTCATCGTCAAGAATATTTCCTCTATTATCATTAAGGTAAGTTTAAAAAAAAAAAATCAGTATACCAGTAAGTGGGTATGTGACGATTCAATAGAGTAAGGTGTAGTCATTGTAATGATTTTACTACTCTGATTTTTCTTTTCCCAGGCAAGTAAGAAGTATGGGAATACGATACTTGGATATTTTAAACTTTATCTGCAGTGGGTCAAGGTCTCAGTAAGTAGTTTATCTTCTATGAACAGAAGGGAGCCTTATGTTAGTGTAGACATATGTGGGAATAAAATCGGGAGAAAATAAGATTAAATCCCTGGTCACTTGGTGGGAGATAAGTAAAAGGACCTTGAATGTGGGAACCATGACCAGAGGTGTCAGGAGACTCAGCACAAGTGTTGTCCACACCGGGCGGCTCATCAGGCCTGCCCGTCAGCAGGGAGAACACGCCCCTCGCGGGCTCCCCCAGCCACCTGTGCTCGCCTTTGTCACAGGGATCCTTGCCACACCTGACTGTGTCTCCCTGAGTGAACCATGAGCTTCTTAAAGAGTCCATCTGAAACTGTGGTTTGCAACCTCCCTGTGGGCTGCACTCAGCCTACTACACTGTCGGTGTGTTAGTATGTAGGTGTGGCTTCACGCACAGAGATTTCACAGTCCAGAGGCTGGAAGTCCGAGATCGAGGTGTCGGCAGGCTTGGTTTCTTCTGAGGCCTCTCTCCTTGGCTTGCAGACGGCCGCCTTCTCCCTGTGTCTTCCCATGACCTCCCCTCTGTGCATGTCTGTGTCCTGACTTCCTCTCCTTTTACAAGGACGTCTTCCCATGGCCTTCCCTCTGTGCGTGTCTGTGTCCTGACTTCCTCTCCTTTTACAAGGACACCGGTCATACTGCATTAGAGTCCGCCCTAGTCACCTCATTTGATCTGAATTGCCTCTTCCAAGATTCTCTTCAAATACCGTTACATTCTGAAGACTTCGACATAGGAACTTTTGGGGGGCACAATTAAGTCCGTAATGTTTGGGTCTCCATGAATGTATCAGAAAAGTTGAGGAGCAAAGATTCCAGTGGTTTTAAGGTGGCGCCTTGTCCCCAGCACCCGGCTTTTGTGGAATTGTCTTGGAAAATGCCTTTTGTCATTGGGCTCCATCCCACCACCCCTTTTCGGGTTATTCCATACAAATCAGCTGTCAGGTCCATATCTCGGAGGACAGGGAGACCCTTCTTGTGAAAACAGGCCAAAGGTAAACCCCATGGTGAATTCTTGTGGATTTTTTGGCCGTTGCTCAGAGTTCCCCTGTGTCTCTTTCCCCCTTAGATCACTGAGCAAATCGCGGCCTGCAAACCTGTGGCCACCGCATTAGATTCTGCTGTGGACGTCTTTCTGTGCAACTACATTGTCGAACCCATGGTAAGAATTTCATCTTTCAAAATAAGGAGACACAATAAACTCATCATCTTTGGGGTCCCCCCGCCCCCGCTCAGGTTGTACTACACACTATAATATAATATAGTTTTCTGCTTGGGCCTTTACATTCAGACCTAAAATCTAAGTTGTAGATGAATGTGTCCTGATACAACAGACTAGAAAAGTCAAAGACCTTGCTGCGTCTTTGACTTTTATAATTCCTTCTTATAATTCCTTATTAGAATTATATTAACAGAAGTCAGGAGACCCTCATGAAAACTATTTGTTTAAAATAATGGGAAAGGGACAGTCACCGGTGTGCAGGTTGCCAGTATTCAAAAGGATTCTTAGTGCGACTCTATATAGAAGCCAAAGCTACAACACACTTGATATTTGATTTGCTGTCCCCTTGAATTGTTACTATTGGGATGATACGTTCCAATTAATCAAGTTTATTCTTCAGCTCGATTCCATCTGCCATATGCACTGCCAGTCTTCTCACCGCCTCCTCTTAAAGCACCTCATGGGCTTCCGTGGCTATCAAAATAAACATCGGGGTCCTTAACAGAATGCACTAGGCCCTGCGTGATTAGGTCCCTGCCTGCTGAGGCCACATTTTGCACTATTTGATCACCTGTCTCACTATGCTGGAGACATACTTGTTTTCTTTCACTGCTTTAAATATATCTCGATGTCCTCCACCTCAGGGCCTTTGCATATGCCATTTCCTGTCCTTGGACTAGAGACTGGACACAGGCATTTGATCCTCCTCTTATGCTTCCCTTCTGCACCCACGCCCCACCCAGCCGACTCCTCCTGCAATACAGTGGTTGAGAACACAGACTCTGAATTCCAATTCCGCTTCTACATTTTTCTGAACCCTGTGACTTTGAAAAATTGTTGAACTTTTCAGAGCTTCCTCACCTACATGGGGTTGTTTGGATGGTTCAGTGACAGGTCACCTCTTAAGAGCCCTCAACACCGTTCCTGGTACGTTAACACCCCCAGGGAACGTTCGCTACTATCGGCGGCTGTGCAGCGGCCAGGTCTCAGCGCAAAGGTGCCTTTCTTCCCAGGAAGCCTTTCCCGATCTTCCCAACTAGACCAGGTTCCCTTTTCTACACTCCCGTGGGACACTTTACTTCTTCCTCAAAGATGTTATTGCTGTTTTAATTGTGCATTCGTGTGGTTCTTTGGTTAGGACCTGTCCCTCGCAATGCACAAAGTAGCCTCTAAACTCTGTAAGCGCAGGGCCCGTGTGTTCCCTGTTGTGTCCCCGTCATCTGGCATACTGCCTGGCACAGGCTGTTGAACGCGTAAAGGATGATCATATAGCTGTTTGTCACAGTGCGTTCGTATCGTTCCATCTGTCCGTCTCCCTGTCTCATGCCCACATGTCCATCTGTCTGTAGCCTGGACTTTTAAACCTGCACTTTCCCAGCCATGCAGACCCCAATCCTCAGCTTCCTGGCTGCTTTTCTCTTTCAACTTCTTACCCTTTTCGCCTTGCTGCTTGGAGCCCCTGATGATGGCTTTGGTTGAAGCCCTCATGAGCCAGGAAGGTAGGGGTCCCAGGTTAGCCTGGTTGATTCAGAATCGATCTCCTTGCATGCAGTGGTTACTGCTCCACCCCAGACCAATCAAATTGCCCAACCACCAGATGCCTCTCCACAAATTATAGAGGAACCAATGGAAGGGGAAGTCTGGAGCTATTCAGGAAGTTTGGGGGCTGGAGCTTAACAGCAGGTGGTATAAATAATAAGGAACAGCTCTGGGCTTCTGGCTTCACTAGCAAGACAGACACCAGGCTAACATATTTCTTTTATGTCTTGATTGTTCTCAAAAGGATCGAAGCAGCTTCCAGTACACACATACAGTTGTCACAAAGCTCTAAAGCCTCTCGAAACAAGGTCGAAAGCATAGAAATCCACCAGTAAAAGAATGTAAGGGGAAAAGAGAACAAATTAACTGGAGATTTTAGGCCAACAGGTGCCACTGCCATTCAGCCCTAAATATGGCCAGGAGCAAAGCAGAAATGCGTGGCTGAGCAGAAAGGGTCTGGGTCCATTGCCTTTTGCTTCAGGGTGGTCTGGGGAGAGCTGTTCTGGTGTTAATATAGCATTATCCTAAGGCAGAGGACACAGACTCGACCCTCTACAGGGACCTGGCAGGTTGCAGGTTTAAAATCACTATGTCGTACACCTGAAACTGATATAATACTGTATGCCAACTGAAATGGAAAAATAAAAAATATATATATATATTATTTTAAGAAATCATGAAAAAGAAGCAGGCCAAGTGTAAGACACAGGATGATGCTGGTTGCTCACAGCCACATCTGTGCTGATCGGTGAATACGGTTGGATAATGTTGGACATCGCCCCTGCCAAAGTCAGCGGTGTGGCTGGGGCAAACTGAGGACAAACAACCCTCTTGAGGGAAGAAGCAACAGTCGCCCACAGCTGATGCTGCCTTGTGGGACAAGGACTCGGTGTTCCATCAAACTTCTGACTTGTGAAGACTGGCAACTATTTAAAAAATATTTTAAATATTTAAAAATATTTAAAAATATTAAAATATTTTAAAATATTAAAGCATTTAAAAAATATTTTAACAGTACTTTTTAGACAAAGCAAGATTAAATTTAGCCTAAGATCTCCCTTAAAGATTGGATAAATTAAACGTGGAACATGTGTTGAGAGCCTGCTATCACTAAGCATTGCTCCGTCGTCTTCACACAATCACAGCGGGGTGAGGATGCAGCTGTGTCACGCTCAGATGCGGAACACAGCCACAAAGGTTTATTAGTCACCCTATCATCACAACGACTCGTAAAAGGGATTTGAGCTCAGGCCTGCCAGCCATTCATGCTCTCATCAGCAGCAGCAAAAAGAGACCATTTATGAGGATGGCCGACAAGTGTTTCAGAGTGTCCTAGAAGCAAACCTGGGCTACTTCTGTTCCTATTTATAAAATAAATAGAATAACAGGATTTAGTCAGGTTTTTTAAAAAAGGGTTAACGAATTATAATAATATGTACCACTTCACACAGTGGCTGGTTTGTATTAAGTTCACGAATGGTTTCAATGAACAAAATTAGAAGTCCTTTAAAAAAAACTGCAAAATAAAATTATTTTTCCCAGGCAACTGTCGTTTTCCATTTCCCATCTTCGAACGCTTAATTCTCCTGATTTTCCTTTTTCCCCTAGAATCTGTTTTGGTTCGGCATAGGAAAAGCGACCATATTTTTACTTCCAGCAATCATTTTTGCTGTAAAGCTGGCCAAGTACTATCGTCGAATGGATTCAGAAGATGTGTATGATGAGTAAGTAGGTGTCTTTCCACAGAGGCCCGGGGTTCATCTTCTAAGTGGGCTGCCCACAGAGCGCTTGCTAAAGACCTCTGATGAGATAAAACTTGATTTTTCTTTTTAAAGTAGTGGGTCCTCCCTGTTCAGGGGTTTTCTTTGTCTCCATTTCCTGAGGCTTGTTTTAAACTCTTTGTTTTTCTCTGGCTTAATCTCCTCAGCTTCCTTAATCAGACTTCTGATTTCTCGTTTGCAGTTCTTCTGTCTCGGGGACGTGGCGCTTGACTTTATGACTGTTTTTGCTAGTTTGTGCGTGGACTCTGTAGTCTGCCCGTCACTCTTGTCTGGTGGACTGGTAGGCTTCACTTTTACTTCAGACATCTCCTTCTCGACCTGTGTTTCTCCTGATTTGCTGTCAGCGCGTGTAGGAGAGCTGTGATCATAATTTAAAAAGTAATTGTATTTTCTTTTTTTTGTATTTTATAGTGTTGAAACTGTCCCCATGAAAAAGTAAGCCTTTTCTTTTTTAAACCGTATTCATAAGCTCAGATGGGGGGGAGGCTCTTTATTATTATATGATGGACTTTTTAAATTAAGAACATCTTAAAATGAGGTAACGACAGTAGGCGTGCCCAGATTAAAATAAATGCTGATGTCTGTTGAAATAAGGACTGGTAAATAAGGACTGGGCGTTGAAGAAGTATTTGTCGAATTAATGAAAATTTTGTGTGTTAAATTTATGAATATACAAAAGGGTTGTTTTGAGATTTGATCTTTAAAGGGAGCAACATGTAAATATGCCCTTTGGCCTTTTTTTGTGTATTTGACAAGGCGTCAGATATTTTTCATGACTCTTACATTGTCTTTGTCATCCACGATATCGATACTTTGTCTTAGTAATAACATGGTGTTTGTGATGTATTTGTTTTTGTCACAGTATGCAAAAGGGTAATGTTGATTTTAATAGCCATCAAACCGCTCAGACTGTTCCAACAGAGTTTTTAAGCCCACCCGACTACCCGAGCTCTTCCTCTTCAGCGTCTCTAAATATTGAAAAAGAGACCAGCCCTCTAGGAGATGACAGACTTGGCGACACCGTCTAGGACACTCACCGATGGGTCCGAGAGGGAAAAGTGTACCCACCTATCTTCCATCTGTAGAAGTCTGGCTTGATCATCCGAGCCTTCTATGAAAGTTGAAACGTGTACCACGTTCACTAATTTTCAGCTTTGCCTTTGGAAGCAGAAATGAATTTTGTCACATTTCATTGCATGGGAACTTAGACTTGTAGTTAGAGAAAGTTCAGCAAGTAGCAGATATGTATATAAGCAATAAAAGAATGATTTCAGAAATACGACTCCAATATCTCATTGAAAAATATGTCTGTACTGTAGTTATCCTTTAAGTCATTGTATTGTTTTCTTAGGGTTCACAAACTGAATGGCTTAATGCAACAGAAATGTGTTCTGTCACAGTTACAGAGACTAGATGTCCAAAATTAACATGTTTTAAGAGTTGGCTTAGAGATTTACCACTCCGATCTCTGCCTCTGTCTTCACGTGGGATTTGGCATTTTCCTTCGTGTGTCTGTGCCCAAATTTCCCGCCTCTTATAAGGAGTCATCGGAGCAGGCTCATCCTCATCAAAAATGAGCCGACTTTAATTTCATCACATCTGCAAACGATCTATTTCCAAACATTCACAGGTGCTAGGTAGACCTGAATATTGGGGCGGGGGCTGAGGGGACATAATTTAACCCCAAAGAGTCACCCAACAGCAATAACAGCCAAAAAGATAGAGAGGACATGAAAGGGAGAGCAAAACCCTCTACACGCGGAAATTAAACTGCGTCCCCGAAATCAGAAACGATAGAAAGTAAAACATTTTATTGGACATATGCAAAGTAGTGACTCCCTCCCTTCTTAATTTTATGTGCCTTTATCTAAAAACACTTTAAGAATCCACTGATCGGGGACATAAATTGTCTCTCCATTGAACCCAGTGATGCCCAGCCTGATACAAAGTGGATTCACCTAGGGGAACTTTTTAAAAGTACTGATGCCTGGCTCACTCCACACGAGGTTCTGATGTAGTTGCTTAGGGATGTGGCCTAAGCATGTGGATTTTTAAATCGTCCCAGGTGATTCTAATGTATAGCCAAGGTTGAAAATTACTGCCCTAGATTAATTAAATCAGAATTTCTGGGTTACAGCTCAGGTAATTCTCATGGGCAGCCTAGGTTGAGAACAACTAATACAGCTTCTCCATGTTTTTTATTCAATTCATATATGTTTACTTATCATCTACTATGTCCCCATCACTATGTAAGACACTAGATGGGGGAGGGGTGAGCTAAGAGCCAAGATCCGACCTCCTAGGAGCTCTGCGTCAATGGTGAAAACCACAACCTCACTTTTGACGAGTGTCTGAGAGGCACAGAAGCTGTGGGGTCGGGGGAGCAGGGAACAGGGGCAATTTGGTGCCATGGAGTTTCTAAAAAATATATACATCAAGCCTCCACTATGACACACTTATCCAATCTGTTTCTTATGAAGGCTCCATGCCTTGTCCCCTCCTATAATCCTCGCCACGTCCCTTTGAGGTCATTCTATGCTAATCATATGCAAAGTGACCTGAAGCCCACAGAGGTCAGTGATCCAACATCACACAGCTCATAAATGTTCCAGCCAGAAGACTCCTCCCACCCTGCCCCCCATTCTACAGCTCCTGGTTGTCAGTACATGCACCTTAGAGGCCAGGGAGGGTTTGGGCACTGGCCATTTGCCAAAAACTTTTCAAGCTAAAATCACCATAGAGCTGTCCAGTGTTTTCTAATGATGAAACGCAACGTGAATCAGCACCACACGAAGCATCACCTGAGGACCAGGAGCATCTGGACCACCTGGGGAGCCTTAGAAGTGCTCATTTTCAGACTCCAATCCAGACAGACTGAATCAATCTCTGAGAGTGAGGTGAGGCCAAGAAGTGTGTATTTTGACAAGCTTTCCAGACAAAGTCTCAAACACGGTAAAGCTGGCCAAGCAATCTTTCAAAACACCATAAAGGAAAAGTTCTCGGTCCATTTAGAAAATAGCTTTTGTCCAAGAAATGTGGCTAAGCCCCATCACAAACAACAGACTATCGGCAAAGCGGTCTGTGCCGATGTCACCTCTGCAGGAGGAAAGGGAGAAAGAAGGTGGAGCCAGTCCTGAGCGCGTGTCCATGGCGGGTCTTACGGGGCGGCCCTCCGTCAGTCTGAAACGCCACCTCCACACCCGTCTTCCCCGCGTGGCGCTCCACGCCATAGCACCCCTCCTGGCTGCTCTTGCTCCCTAGGTCACGTCGGTGACCCCTACCACACCTCTGTTCTCTTCCACACGAGCGTTTGCTCCATCGCTCTCTCCCAACGAGATCTCAAACATTCGTGCACAAAGCCCATGTCTTAACTTCCTTTGATTGCCCACCACACTTTAGAGCAGGGGTCCCCAGTCCCTGGTCCACATGCTGGTACTGGTCCACGGCCTATTAGAAACCGGGCCGCACAGCAGGAGATGAGTGGCAGGCGAGTGAGCGAAGCCTCATCTGTATCTGCAGCCGCTCCCCGGCGCTAGCATCATCGCCTCAGCAACACTCAGATCATCAGGCATTAGATGCTCATAGCAGCGCTGGTCTCTGGTGCCAAAAAGGTTGGGACCGCTGCTTTAGAGGCAGAATGGACTGTTATCAAACTCAGAAAACCTTGGTTCGGATGTGGCTCTACCTTGAGAAGAAATGCAGGCTCCCTTAGTCTCATCGCCCCCTCTGTTTACGTGGGAAAGGGGTTGTGCCCACCTCGCTGGGTGGACGTGATGAGCAGCGTACCTGACACTGAGCAGATCAATGTCACTCACCCATTGTAGGCTTTATATAAATAGCAGATCCAGTTTCTTTGAGAGGTAGCAAACTCCTTGTCATTGGGGGATTCAAGCAAAGGCTAGTCAGCCCATCTGTGAGATGTCATGAAGTGTCTCCATGCAGCTCAAAAAGGAAAGGAAAGGGAAGATGGCAGTAAAAAGCCCCAAGATCTGTCTACACACTTGAATAAGAATTGCACTGTAGAATCTGTCTGATGTAACTATTTTGGAGCTCTGGTGTCTACCGAGGGCTTGAAAATTCCAAGAGAAGGTTTGGGGTGGTGAACGGGTCATTTTGGTCAATTTTGACTCTTACCTCTGTGGTGTCTACCCATCCCCCACCCCAGTCATGCGTTCCTGGAGTAGCTTGTACACAGATTTGAGTGCCAGGATGGACAACAAGGACCCTATGCTTTATATATTATCTATCTGTGTTCCGATCACTGATCGCTGCTTCGAATCACAGAGATGCAGACGCAGAAGTGGACAGCCATTGTCACACCCCCTCTGAAGACCAGCTGCATTAATGTTCTCGTCTGGCTGTAGAGAGTCCACAATGTGGGTAACATGGTCTATCCAGCGAGTAGATGAGCAACATGATCTATTCCAGCCAAGTCTTTTAAAGTCCTTCCCGCCTCTTGATGAAGTCACCAGCTGAGAATGAGAAGGAACATGAAATATTCATTGAATGTCATGGTCATTGGCCCTTTGCTGTGAATGATGTGGCATCATAGGACCACGAGCGATCCAGATACCCCCAAATATGGCAGAGCTTGGTCTCAAATGCTACTATAGCATGACCAAAATCTGCCACACACACTACCAAGGCAAATTTGGCAGAAAATTTCAGCCCTGAAAAGGAAAGGCTGTGCCATCACGTTGTCATCCACTAGAGGCAAATAGTAGGAGAATTCAGGCGTCCCTCTGGAAGGACAGGAAATGTGTGAGAGAGATCCAGGTGATCTTCCAGGCAAACTGATCTTTTTTTCTTTTTCAATACCAGTTGGCATTCATTATTATTTCATATTAGTTTTAGGTGTACAGTGATCAGATATCGATACGATTTACGAAATGATCCCCAATAATCTAGCACCCACCTGGCACCATACATAGTTATTACAATATTATCGACTATATTCCCTATGCTGTGCTTCACATCCCATGACTATTTTGTAACTACCAATTTGTACTTCTTCATCCCCTCAACTTTTACACCTGGCCCCCCCACCTCCTCTCCTCTGGCAATCAATAGTTTATTCTCTGTATCTGTGAGTCTGTTTTCATTTTGTGTGTTCATTTATTTTGTTCTTTAGATTCCACATATAAGTGAAATCATATGGTATTTGTCTTTCTCTAACTTATTTCACTTTGCATAATACCCTCGAGGTCCATCCATGTCATTGCAAATGGTAAGATTTCATTTTTTATGGCTGAGTAATATTCCATTGTCTATAGGTACCACAACTTCTTTATCTGATCATCTATTGATGGGCACTTAGGTTTCTTCCATATCTTGGCTACTGTAAATAGTGCTGCAGTGAACATAGGGGTGCATAGATCTTTTCTGATTAGTGTTTTGGATTTCTTCAGATAGATACCCAAAAGTGCAATTGCTGGATCATAAGGTAGTTCTATTTTTAATGTTTCGAGGCCCCTCTAAACTGTTTTTCATAGTGACTGTACCAGTTTGCAGTCTCACCAACAGTGCAAAGAGTTCCCGTTTCTCCACATCCTCGCCGACACTTGTTTTTTGATTTCTTGATCATAACCCTTCTGACCAGTGTGAGATATTACATTGTAGTTTTAATTCGCATTGCTCTGACGATTAGTGACATTGAGCATCTTTTCACATGTCTATTGGCCATCTGTATGTCCTTTTTGGAGAAATATTTATTCACGTCCTCTTAGGCAAACTGATCTTTGATAGGTTGTGCCAAAGAAATTGAGAAAAAAGCATTATCTTTGTCCAGGACAGAATATTGCCAAAATGTGTAATCGATTTAGTTGCAGTCGCAAAGTCTAACAAGGCTGGAGCTACAGAGGCAACAACCGAATTTCACTGTGAGAATTCACTGTGGAAACATCCATTTTGGACTTCAGGTGAGGCAGAAATGACTTTCCAGTGCGTTTCCATAAGTTAGGGCTTTCTTGTTATAGCAACTGGCATTACACAGCTGATGCACTCTGCTACTTTATAGTCCCAAGGACCTCGTCAGTGACACATACCCGGTCTGAGCTTCATTTAGGCCCTCAGTAAATATTTGTTCAATTAATTGTGAATTGATAAATTTAAACTAATGACATTAAACTATATCATCTCTAATACATACGCCTCCTCTTACATGCAAAGACCAAAAGATTATTTGCACGGTGGGCCAATTTGGGCATTTGGCCAATTATTGACCTTTTCAATAACCATCCTGCTGTCTGGCCAGAAGGGTTTAAGAAATACCTGAGAGAT